CCCAAAAAAAATATGAGAATAGATTTAATAGACCATTCTCCAACGGGTTCCGTAAGATTTTCCTAGGAAAAGGGATGGATGAATGGAGAAATCTTTTTTAAATGGTTGCAACATTTTGTCACCTCAAAACAAAGTTGCTTTTGAATGGTTATTCTAGCCACACAAACTTAGATGTTTTAACATTTGCTAAGCAGAATAGCACATTGCACTCACAGGCTTCAGCCGTTAGACGTTAGTTTCTTTGGGCCTTTAAACACATTCTATAATCAAAAACTAAATATTTGTACCAGAGCCAGTGATACTGAAATCGTCTAATGAAATAAGCATATCCGAAACCAGATAAAATCGAAAATTTTGTGTTCTCAATTCTACGCCGGACATTGGGACATTGAAGAATTAAAGCTAGAAGTGGCTTATAAGAAAGCTCCAGTTGTAAGAAAATATGTTACGCGCTCGGCAGAACAAAAAGTCTGAATGCCCTCGTCTTCTGGGAGTGAAAAAAGAAGAAACAGAATATTCTGGATCAGAATAAGAAGATCCGGTCTGCATTTGTTGCCTTGGACAATACACTATGTAAAGAAGTAAAGAATGGTGCCATGCACACTGTATTAGCCTACCTAGAAGTAGTGCAAAAACTATAATTTTCGATATGTATTTGTAAATAAAACACATTAGTTTTAGGTGTATGTCATCTCAGCCATAGGGGGTAGGCTAGATGGTTTTTGTAAGAGTTTACGTTTTATTTTTTTAGGTGTAATATGATATACACTGGAACAGTTATCTCCAAAAATGTAGTTACATCAATTTGAACTAAGCCCGCAGCATTTTTGATGATAAAACTTTCCTACATTCAAATAAAATTAGTGAAAATAATATTTGTATTTTTATACATTTTAAGTCATAAGCAAGTCAAAATAAGTGGGACATCCGGTATATCACGAATTGAATTCGACGTCTTCGATAACGATATTATTTTTTTATTATTTATATTTTATATAGCTACCTACAGAGGCCTTATTGTAATTTATTATTCACCGAGGTTCATTGCGAACAATGAAAAACCAGTTGCCGGAAAAATTGTAAATAGAAAGCGAAGGGAAAAAAATTAGAATTCAGCGACCTCTATTATTTTTTGTTCATTTTTGCAAAAAATGACTACATTAGCTTTTGCCAATGATTTGAATTTTATCGCCGGCCAAAAAAAAATTGCTTTGAAATGCAGATACTTTGACTTTTTACTTTGATTGTTTTAAAAGGGATTTTATGGTTATCGTCCACAAAGTAATTTATATGCAAAAACTTGCAATATTTGCTATGTACAAGGTGTCCACAAAGGGTAGGGGTATTTGTAAATTCAATAAAACAAAAACTATAAGCCAGAAAAAGAATTTTTTTTTATTAATTTTTAAAAAAGCTTTGGAAAATTAATTGCCAAAAATAATGTTATCCAAATGTTAACCCTCGCGTCGCTGGCACTCTTCTAACCGAGAACGAACATTAGCCGCCACACGTATACACATCTCCGTGGGAACGGCGGCCATTTCGGTGCGGATGTTGTTCTTCAATTGCACTAGATTTCTTGGTTTGTTGGTATAGACTTTTTCTTTAAGGTAGCCCCATAAGAAAAATTCAAGAGGAGTAAGATCGGGGCTTCTTGGAGGCCAGTTGATGGTGCCTCGACGAGAGAGATCACTTTGACAACGGCAATGGATTGGTTTGAGGTATGGCAAGTAGCCCCATCTTGTTAAAACCATGTTTCCACATTAAAACCTTCAAAGTCCTCCATTTGTGGAACAAAAAAATTTCTTAACATACCGCAATACCGTTCACTGTTTACTTTTAATGCCCGCCCTCGCCGGTCTTCAAAAAAATAAGGCCCAACGATGCCTTCACCAGACATGGCAGCCCACACGATCACTTTTGGGCTATGAAGTGGTTGTTCATGTTTCTGTCTTGGATTTTCGTTGGCCCAGTAGCGGCAGTTCTGTTTATTTACGTGACCATTTAAATGAAAGTTGGCTTCGTCGCTAAACAAAATGTTTTCAAACGTTGGGAAGCGTTGAAGCATTTCATTTGCAAAATTCAGCCGGAGAGGATAGTCGGTAACGTTCAGTTTTTGAACCAACTGAATTTTGTAGGCTGTAATCTTTCTTCAGAATCTTGTGCAACGATGATTTTTTAATGTTAAGTTCTTGACTCCGTTTGCGAACTGATTGAGATGGATTTCCACGTACTGAAACCCTCACTTCTTCAATCGCTTGTTGGGTTCGAACAGAGCGCAGGCGGCCTGAATTGTGAATTTTTACAGTCGAATCGGTATCCTCAAACATTCAAATCCATTTTCTTATGGTATCGTCCTTTGGTGCATTCCGTACATTAAAATGTGAACGATATAAACGTTGCGCTGTGACTATCGAATCACCATTACGATACTCGTACGCTCGTATGCAAAAAGCGCGATGGTCTCCAGGGTATGTCTCTATGGTTACTAAATCTCCAAAGAGTAGTGCAAACACCTATGCCTACCACGCCCCCCCCCCCCCCCCCATACTTCGTTACTAGAACTGCGCCGATACAAATACCCCCTACCCTTTGTGGACACCTTGTATAATCATTTTACGAAATTAACTAAATTTTGCGAATTATTTGTGTGTGTTCGGTAGGTCAGTTAAATACTGTCGATCAAATTATCTAATAGTCATTCAAATTATTTTACTGTCGATCAAATTCTCCAGCTGTTTGTTATAATTTATATTAGATACAGTCCACAAAATACATAGTTGGAACTAGCTAAAGGTATTAAGAGTTGGTGGTAGGCTTCAGCTTTCTGAACTTGATTATGCTAAAAAAATCAGTATTTAATATCTAGTTCCCAAAGATTCGCAAAACTTATATTTAAAAGTGAACATATAAATCTGTGGACCGCAGTTGCTCTAGTCTTCTGTTAGGTAAAATTTTTGGACGCTAGGGGAAGGAACTTAGCAAAATAGGTTGTTTTTGATTGTATAAGATGTTTTCGAGTAAATCCAAAGACTACTAAACAAATTATGGGGTGCTACCTGGAGAGAGTATGGCCAACTCCTCCATTTTGGAATACTGGAGTGGACTACGCAGGTCCAGTATATATTTAAAATAAAATTAAGTGCTACATATTACTTTTTATTTGCTTTTCAACTCGAACTGCACATTTAGAGTGTTTTATATCTGCTCTTAGAAGATTTATATCTTGTAGAGGTAAACCTCAAACTAAAGACTAATACTGACTTAAAGAAGTTTGGTCCTTTTTTAAAATCTCAAAATGTGTCTTTGTCAAAACAATTTGCAAATGGAGGTATAAATTGAAAATTTATTCCTGCTTATTCACCAAATTTTGGGGGATTATGGGAGGCTGGAGTAAACTCATATAAATCTCATTTAAAAGAGTATTAGATGATACAAAATTAACCTTTGAAGAGTTCTATACATTACTCACGCAAGTGAAAGCAGTCCTAAATTCTCGTCCACTTGTATCACTTTCTACAAGTACAGACCACTTTGATGTGCTAACTACAGCACATTTTCTTATTGGACGAAGACTTGTTTCTGTGACAGACCCAAGTGTGACTGATTTCCCATATAATCGCTTGTCAAAATATCAACACATGCAAAAATTGCAACAACATTTTTGGCAGCTGTGGTACAAAGAATATATCATGGAATTACAAACAAGGGCAAAATGGATCAAGGAAGAGGCCAACCTAGAACTAGGACAGTCAGTACTTATCAAAGATGATCAACTAACTCCAATGAAGTGGAACTTAGGCCGCATCACCAACTTTCATTAAGGTCCAGATAAGAAGGTCCGAGTGGCAACTATAAAGACACCTCATGGAGAAGTCACAAAAGGCATTTCCAAGGTGGGCCCTCATCGAAAGGACTAAGATTATTTTGTTCTAGAATATTTGTTTACAGTTTTTAATTTTATAACTTGTTAAGTGTGTTAGATAATTTTTGAAAGACATTCTTTCAAGATGGGGGATCAAGGAAGAGGCCAACCTAGAACTAGGACAGTTAACACGTATTTCTGACTATTAAATTATCAAAGTATCGGTTAAATTCTCTGTCAGTCTTTAGCTTAATATTTCGCGAAGTGTTTGTGTGTGGACGACAGTTCGGTTAAATATTCCAACTGTCAATCAAAATATTTAATGGTCGTTTAAATTATCTAACGGTAAAATTCTCTGACTGACGGTAAAATTATTTAGCCGTTGATCAAATTCTTTAACTCTCGATCATAGTCTCTAACTGTAGGTTAAATTCTCTAGCTTTCACTCAAATTTTATAACTGTTGTTCAAATTAACTGTCCGTCAAATTCTCTACTTATTGGTCAAAATCTCAAACTGTCGGTTAAATTCTTTGTATAAATGTATTGTTAATACTAAACTTGCCAAACATTTTTTTATAAGGTTTATAGATTATCTTATACAAGGTTGGGAACGAGAGATATTAGAAATGTCAATAAACGAAATTTAATAGATTCTTGAAATGCATTAAATTAAGTAATGCGGCGAAAACTAAATAAATAAGTGGTTTATATATTTAAGTGTTTTTGTAGTTTCTGTAGGAATTTCTAGAGAATATTAGATAATGGAGAGTTGAAGTGCTCAAACTAAATGTACGAGCATTGTAAGAATTTTTAGTTATATTATTTACGTTGTAAAAAGAATCCAAACCATTTTTCGGTTAATGCTTGAGGGCCAATCGTGATTTATCATATTACTGTTAATTCAATACAATAAAAAAAAAACACCTAATGTATAATGTATCTAAAAAAAGAAATCAAAATTAAAAAAATATTGTTACGGCTTTTCCTTGTACAAGAAGTAAAGAAACCGGAAAATGTGGCATAGATATGACGAAGGAGTGAAATATTTCATATCAAAAATGAAATCCGGTTCCCAATAACATTGATAACTCTATAAAAATCCCGAAAATATCCTAACATTATCATAACACTTACACCAGATGATGTCGCTCACGGCTCCGACGAATAAATGGCTGCAGCCCTTCTGCATCCGGCCTCCGTTCGGATAGAAATCAACGTGCCCCATGGGTTGTGACGACCCCAGGCCTCCCAAGATTAAATTCTCTCCGTTACTGTGGATGACGTCGACGAACTCAGCATCGCTTTGGTCCAGGCGCGCCCGCGGGTCCTGCGATTCGAATAGGGGTCCTGCGGGGTCTAGTCCTAAAAAAATACAAACACTTGATAAAGAAGTATCCAATATGCTACCTATTTGTTTCGAGAATATTACAGAATAGTACTTATAATCAAATATCGAAAAGAGTTATTTAATATCCATTCTAAACATAAAAAGAAATGCAACTTCTTCAAGTTTGTTTTTTATAAAAAATATATATATATATATATATATATATATATATATATATATATATATATATATATATAATTATTTCCGCTCGGAACATAGCAGCTAAACCAGAACAAAAAATGTCTAGTGCTAATAATAGTAAATAAAAATGAAAATTTATAAAGTTCATCCAGTGACAGCTTGTCTGTAAGGGCTCTTGTTTTACAGCCCCCTGTACAAGAGAAAACAATTTATACAAATTTAATCTTAAATGAGTAAAACCAAATTTGGTATATTTTCACAAAACTTTTATTTTAAAAAATAAAAATTAAAAAATTAAAAACAATACACATAACATGTTTCGAAGTACAACTTCTTTTTCAAATGTGACTAATTTACAATTCGGTGTCCAATATATATGCGAAGTAATTTAACCAAACAAAGTAATTAAGAAAATACATCAATAACATAACAAAATAAACTGACTATTTTAAGTAAATAAGGGTACTTAAGTAATTATGATATCAATCAGATAACAATAAGATAGTATCATTACCGGGATTATCTCACAGAAAACTAGGAAAGAGATTTAATAAAGGTTAGTCATTAATATGTATTTATTGCTGCCTGTAAGTCAGGATCTATGGCTGTAAAATTTTATATTATGGAAACATATTGTGACTAGTTTACAATAAATATTATATTTAGAAATAAATACATTATTTTACTTAAATTAGAAGCTTTAAAAATAAATTGAATTGATTTCTCCTTATGTTTTCTTTAGTTTTACATTGGATTTGTATCCCGTTTTACAATCTGGAACGAAGTAAATGTTGCTTTGATGTTTTTGTCACTCGTTATTTTTTTACATTATTTTGATTCTTTTCACCAATTTAAAAAAAAACACTTCATTTTACATTGAGTTACATAGAAAATTAACTGAGCTGACGTTCGACCTGCCAACTACAGTCAATTTGGCGAACTTTATAAAAAGAAGGACAAAAACACGAAATTTATTCATTGTCGATTCGCCTCCTTCTCTCTAGTCTTCATACCCTATAGTAATGATTAATGATACTGGAATTCAAGAAATTGCTTTGAGTTACACTGCAGCCAAGCACAGAGTCGCATGGCGCTAGTATTGTTTAGACTTTTGACAAGTCTGACATCGGCACGTTTACTGGTTGAAGACGAATTCAAAACAATCTGATCGAAGTTTTACTCCCACCCATTCCTTTTCAATGAAACTGTTTTACCTACATCTGTACTGAACCCCAATATTTTGTTCACGAGCCGCCATTGGTACAAAATAAACCATGTAGTAAACGCGATTTTCTAGCCCCAACTCTACCCTAGCAATCTAAAAAAAAACGAAAACCGGGTAAAAATCGCAAGCTAATAAATAGTTATCGTCCCTTCACTCTTTTAAACGGACTATCCTCGATTTAAAACGTAAGATTCATTATTAAATAAGTAACAGGTAATCAATTTCTAATGTTTGTTAGCTTTTTGGGATTTGTTGATCTTACAAGCCTAACTGGGATACCCTATAAATAAGTAAAATTTACTATTAATGTTCAAACAATAAAAATACTGGAGTTCCATTTGCAAAAATTACCTTCATAACCTGTTCAGCGAATATTTTCTTTAGTGCCGCATAATACTAAATTAATACTTTTTCAAAATCTTCTAGTTTTCCGAGAGAAAATAATTAACCCACTCTGTATATTTCAAAGTTATTCGACAAGAATATGTTTTATTAAATTAAGAATGGTTATTTTTATAAATAAAATACCTGTTATTCTACTCAAATTTCCAAGATCTGCTCCGGCAAAAGCTGCTATATGGGCACCTAAACTGAACCCAATGATATGCGTCTTCTTCAATGACAGTCCATTTTTTTCGACTAAGCCTCTCAACAAAAGAGACAATTGCTTGCCGACCAGTCTTGTATTCGCCGAGGCTTTAACGTAATTTGGCAAGGCAGCTCCGTTGCTCCAATCCACACATATTATATTAACCTCTTCCTGAAAAATAATTAATAAGAATGGTTTAAGTTACCACCAATTATTCTTATAAAAATACTCACTACAGCCATTAGGGCGCTTCTAATTTCGTACACCCATATATAATTACAATCGCTTCCGAAACCATGGATGAGAACCTTGGTAGGCAGACTACCGTTAAACCCATCTTTGGCCCATTCAAAGGCTTCGTCTAACTTGTCAAATGGCACTTCAGCGGGTGGCGACCCACGTTTTCTTCTCCTTCTACCTGGGAACATCAAAAATTTCGTGGCTATATCTTCGGGCTTGTCTGGGAGTGTATCGAGGTACCCGAAGGGACCTGAGGCTTCGAAGCATCCTAAATCTTTGTAGCACGCTACTGGATTGTCTTCTCTTTTAAATCTACAACCAAAATTAAAAAAATGTATTTTTTTTATTTTACCGATGAAGGGTGTAAAAATAAATATACAACTTCGAAAATAAAATATATATCTCACGTAATTGAAACAGCTTTATTGGAATCCTTTCTAAAATAGTTATATCCAAGAAACCATATTCTAATTGATAAAACGTGTTGTTAAAGACAGTTAAGGACCGTTTACAAAATTTGAGAACTACTTTTAGCAAATATATTTTCGTAGAAGAAGACATTAAAATCAGTATTGGATAGTAAATCCATTTAAAGGTGCACCCACTTGGCCTATCGCTGCATGAAAAAAAAGAACTCATAGATATTTCTTCAAGTGAAGCAAAATTATAGAATAGTGGTGTAAGGACCATTTACTGTTTATCAATCCCAAGAAAACAGAAATGGTCCGTTTCAAAAGAAAACGGGTGAAAATTGAACTAAAACCTCCTGAACTCCTAATCACAAAACTGAACTCTTGAAACAAATGTTCAAAAACAAAACAAGGCCCGGATGTGGAAAACATATACTCCAGGTCCTTAAACCTAAACATAAAACGGGCTATAAACAATAGTATCAGTGTAGTTTAAACCGAGATCACAGGGATTCTTATAAAAGCAAAAGAAATTACCCGAAACAATATCACTGGAAGGTATCTGCTCATCTATACAGATAGAAAACAAGTACTTAACACTTTGGATAGACTACGAATTTACTCAGAGATAGTACTACAATGTAATAATAATAATAATACTCTCCCTAATTCACCCCCTTACGAGTGAATTTTAACCCCAAAAGCTGAGCTTGTGCGGGGAAAGGAACGGCTATTATTATTATTATTATTTGCCGTGGCGCTCCGGGGCGACTTAAAGATGATTGATGGTGCCATTTGACTTACAGGTGAGGAAAACCCGGAAAACCTCACCCACCATCATCGAGACGGTAATGTATGGCGATTTTTTATAATCTGCATATCATATCAACAGAAATTGAATTTCTATTAATACGGCACACATCAAATCCTATACTGAACCATGCAATTTAATTAAAAATCCACATGGTCTGGTCTGGGATTCGAAGCCCAGCAGTCTCTGACACATAAACTTGCTTATAAATGAATATAAGCGCGTTAGACCGCTACACCACCGGCCCGAAGCACGAAGCTTTGACTGAAGTATCCATCAACAATATGGTCACCTTATATGAATCAAAGATCACGACACATTAGAAGGTCTTGCTAATTCACTAGTCAAGAAGGCAACCAACCAAATACTTTTTGGATCTGGCCTTTTTATTGGACTAACAACATCGGTAGTGACAAACATAATTAAAGATGATTTCCTTGTGAAATTCATGGAAAGGTGAGATGAAACAAGAAGCTGCAAAGTTGTCAGTGAACTTTAAAGTTATTCTAACAACACAACACCAAGAGTACCTTTTTTTGTGTAGAAAACATTGGTGGTTCAAATGGGCATCTCAAAACCGTACTTTTTCCAGTGGCGTAGAAAAAAAATTTTTTTTTAATTTCAACACCCTGTATCTCGAAAATGGTGCATTTTAGAGGGTAAGTTAATAGAAACGTTTTTGCATATTTTTGGACGAGCTATCATGTCTTGAAGTCCTGCGCATATATTATGAAACACCCTGTATAGGCATCAAGCGCACAATAACCAGTTACTTTTATTTCACCCTGTAACATTTATTGAAATTGAAATATATTTGATAACATAAATTTAAATAACAAACACCGTATTTGTTTAAAATGTTTCAAATATTATTTTAAAGTAAAATGTTTTATTTTTTTAGCCCAAAGATAAGGTGATTACAGCACCCCTTATAATTTACCTCAAAAAGTATTTTTTTTTTTTTAATTAAAATTTTGGCAAAATAAATTAAGCAATATTATCTAAAATATGCATATATTTTAAAGTTTTAATTCATTCCAGTTTCCAAAAAAAAAATGATCAAAGGGCTTTAAATTTTGAAATATCATAATGAAAATAAATGCATTCCTTAACAGCACTATTCCTAATATAATCCCCAAATTTAAGCTCTTAATGATTTTTTAAAATTAGCCAAAATTCCTGGCTAAAACGCCTCGTTAAGTGCTATCTTCTGGTTTAAACTGGTGTAAAGCGTTGCAAGAAATGAATGATGATCGAAAGTGTACGATACAATAGTTGCAGACGCGTTACACCAGAAGACAACACTTAATAAGGCGTTTTAGTCTCGAATTTTGACGACTTTTATAAAATTATTAACATGACTTTAAGAACTTAAATTTCGGGATTATACACATCGCCAAAATTCTCGGACCCCTTATGTTTGTCAAAATGAGACACTATTATTAAAAGTCAAGAAGTATGTTACATAGTAAATTTATTTTGGTTATGTATCTAATACAAATTGGTTGAATTAAATTTTAACTGAACAAGAAAAAAATACAAACGAAAAATAGTGTATAATAAAATTATTACTAGAATTTGAAATCCAGAAGAAAACCACTTTAAAGCGAAATCACAAACTCATTAATATTCGGTGTGTCCTCCCCTGTTCTGTAGTAAGGTATTAACTAGCTTGTGCATGGAAACAATAAGGGTGTTAATGTAATCCATTGGGATGTTGTTCCATTCTTCTTGGGCCGCGACTGTAAGTTCCTGGAGAGTGACAGGAGGATTAATTATGTTTGAGATTGCTCGTCCAACGAAATCCCACATGTTCTCAATGGATTCATATCTGGCGAATTTGCTGGCCACGGTAATCTTTGAACATTCTGCATTTCTAATGCATTTTGTACCCTTCTCGTGCGATGGGGCCTAGCATTGTCATCCATGAAAATAAAATTGGCTCTAATTTCATTTAGGAGAGGATAAATAATGGGTTCAATAATGTTTCGAACATATCTATCGGCTGTCATAGTGTCTGGAATGGGAATAAGCTGCGTACGACGACCATTTATTATGCCTCTCCAAAACATTACTGTTCCTTCTTGGTATGGAACGACTTCTCTGGCAAAAGATAGTCTTTCCGGTCGCCCTGGCCCTCTCCAAACTCTGTGTCGCGGACCATCACGAATTAAACCATATCTGGTTTCGTCCGAAAAAAGATCATTTCGCCACTGAGCTAAAAGCCAGTATCTGTGTTCCTATGCGCACTGTAGACGAGCAGCTATATGTCTGGAAAGTAACCTGTATACTCTTACTGGTCTCCTAGATCGTAAATTGGCTCTTCGTTCTTCTAAAATGAGTTCGGACAGCTGAGACTGTTACGGTTCGATTTCGACATGCATAACCTGCTACATACCGATTTTCTCTTGGATTAGTTACCCTAGGAGGACGCCCAGTCCCACGTCTCCAGTCAACGCTGTTAGTTTCCTGGTACAAACGCACTATTCGGATAATTGAAGCGGGGGGAATCCCTACTCCATCTGCGATTCAATGATTCGGCAGACCCTCATCATGCAAAGCCACTATTCTTGCTCTATTGAACACTGAAATTCTATTGCATAGTTGCAAAGAAAAACTCAACAATCGCTTAAACACCCAAAATCAATATGAACCACTTTTTAAACATTGGTACCTAAAATCGTGGGAAAATGTTTTTGAAAAAATTTTTAAATATGTATCAACGGTGAAATAAATAAAGATTAAATGTACAAAAAAGCAGCCATGATAAATATTTCGTTTCAATATTTACAAGGGGGGGCAAGAATTTTGGCGATGTGTGTATTAAGAATAGCACTGTTGAGGAATGCATTTATTTTCATCGTGATATTTCAAAATTTAAAGCTCTCTGATTTTTTATTCTCGGAAACTGAAAGGATTTAAAACTTTAAAATATATGCGTATCTATCTAGAATATTACCTTATTTATTTTGCTAAAATTTTTATTTTTTAACAGAATCAGTTTTTGAAATATGCTTGTCGGATAATTATAAGAGGTGCTGTATTCACCTTAAAGTAAAAGAACTATTTTTATTTTATGGGGTCGGAAATCATAACCAGTGATATCTTCAAAAGCAATGCGCGACGCGGCGGTGGCGGCGTTTGAGTCGAGTCGGCAAGTGTTACCGATGCCAAAAACAATCTTCTATAAGTTTGACATATAAAGTGACATTTTTTAAATCGTATCAAGTGTCAAAATGACCTACTTTACTGTTGAATATTATAAAGCTGGTTTCAAAAAATTCATTGTGTCACTAGTTGCGAAAACAAAACAGAAGCATTATTTTTGTTGTTAAATAGACCACGAAAAGCTACTTTTCATACAATCGCGGCGTGTACATGCGTTGCGGTAATTTTTTAACATGTACTTTGTTATAATTACTCGGAAAAATTATTTAATGCATGCAATTGGACTATGTGAAAGTATTGGGTAAATATGAGCGAAAAATTTTTTTGCATACATTTCGGAAGTGTTTAAGATATTTGCATACGCTAAAATAGGTCGTAAAATAATCGATGCACTTTAAACAATTAATTAACGCCTGCTTTTTGTTTTCGTTACAGATACAGAAGTGGCGCAAAAAAATAAAATTTTACGTTAACAAATTACTGGAGTGAGTTGGTTTGTGCCTATTCCTATATTCAAACACAAACGTTTCGCTACCTTTTCCGACGTCCTTCCTTTGAAAAACTCTTTGCTCTAGCTGCTTTAATGTCAAAATATAGACACAAAGTTTAAAAAGAAAATGAACTTAGAGTAACTATTTTGAATATCAAACCAAATATGTATACTATTAGTAATTAGCTATATGTATTACAAATTTTTTTAACAACAACATTGTACTGATGAGTTTGCAAATTTTTTGAAGTAGATATATAATATTCAAATATTTTGTTCATATATTTATTCGAGAATAACGCCCCTTGTCGTTCTTCGGTGACTCTTAGGGAGCGTACCTCACAGTGTGAGAAACTCGGTTTTATAATTTTTGTTTTGTTTTAATTGGTGTCTTTGACTTCGACAACTTAGGTCATTAGCCTTGTGTTCTATGTAGGTTATGGATTGTACAAGTAGTCTAATACTCCATAATGCAGGAGTGCTAGTATTCTAATACTCCTGCACCCCTACAGACAGACCTTGGTACTGTTTCCCAGCGCCACTTTAGGAACAGCACTGTTAATTAGAACCCAACAGTGAATGGTCGAGTGGGGAATCCTACCTATGCATTAGAATTAATATATTTTTTGTTAATTAAATAGGAATTCCTGCCACCGGTGAAATTCGATCGTGAGACCTTTCGACTCTAACCACTAAGCCAACCCACCTGCAGGCACTATAATTAAATTTTTGAATTAAAAAAAAAATATCTTGCATAAGCTCATTAAAGCCATATTCCGTTTTATCTGATAATGGTTAAAAATTACAACACACCTAATTTACTTTAGACTTTGGAGGATAATTACCATTTGCCATCGCTCCGGTATGCGAAAAAAGATTCTTTTGACTATTGATGACAATAGATACAGATGTAAAGGCTCTTAATTATCGGACGTGGGTATTAAAATATTAGCTAATAATCCTTAAAACCGATGATGAAATTTAATTATGTGCGGACTCATTGTTAAAGGATTAAATTGATTGAAAGTTTTCCTTTATTAATATTTACTTTTTATTTTTATCAAATCCTGTACTCCCGTAACTAGTTTTAGGGCACAATATTACAATCTGGAGTATAAACCTCTAACAAAAAAGAGACATTAATTAATTAATTTTAGTTGCGATTAAAATGGACAATTTTATTCTAAATGATTGTTGTTTATTTTAAACTATTAAAAATGTATTCATGAAGTCGTTTTATGAAGAAATTGATAAATATACAATCTGTACAAATAGCAGACACAACAAACTTCTCGATTCATGATGATGATAAGCAGTTAAACAATTGTCTTAAATAAAATGCTCCAAAATATGATCTGTGAATTGTATAAAAAAATTGAACAGTATTAATTTTTAATAAAAGTTATATGAATTTAAAAAAGTCATATTTTTATAATATTTTTTGATATACTGGGTGTTATGCTTTTGCCTGGCAAATAAAAATGTAGATTTTTTTAAATAGAACACCCTGTATTTTAATTTAATTTTAGAATAGTCTGATAATATTGTTTTTAAACCTGAATTTATGAGCATTTAATTTTAAATGATTATTTATTAACACAGAATAAAATCCTTCTGTACTACTAGTTTTATATAAACTCATTGGTTGTCCTTTTTATATAAAAATAAAACAAGTTATCGACTTCTTCTGCCTCGAATAATAATTTTAACATGCGTTTTGTAATCAGTTTTTGACAAATGACTTCCACAATATATGTTTCTACAAAGCACTGTCCGAATTGAATGTCAACAAGTTCTTTCAATGTTGCCGTTTGTATCACAGTCGCCTGTCGCGGTCGCTGGCCTCGGTCTCCTGTTTCGGTCTCGCGTTTCCAAATGATACATTCAATGTTACTATAAACTACCAAAATGTTCCCATTCGTACAAAGATAATATCTACATTGTATTTACTTATAACTCTTTTTTATAATTCTATATTTTCTACTTTTTTTATTTGGCATCCCATTTTTCCAAAGTAAAATTATTTCAACTTATTAGTTGAAATTTATCGGCAATTGAACTAATAACTCATTAAAAACTATAAAATGTTGATCCATATTAATTTGTTTTACCTATTAGCAGATTTTTTCTGAGCTTGTCTCTGCTTCCATTCGTTCACGGAAGTTACGACTGCTTTGTAAATTTCGGCATCATGACGCTCGTCTAATGCCTCCAATGAAGGGTCCACAAACGGAAATGCAAAACCTGTAACAAAAATTAGTTATTAAGTTTCATAATTAAAATTTATAATAATTATTCATAAAACAAATGTGTGAAGATATTATGTTTTTGAACACGAGTTGAGAAAAGAGCAGTTTTAGAATTAGGAAAATCAGCTAAGAAACAAAGAAGAAGACCAATAAGAAAAACTAAAAGACATAGGAACAGTAAAAGGAAAGACAATGAGATGAAAACATTGGCAAAAGACAGAAAGGCCTGAAAAATGGGTATAGTCTTTTTCTACACTTGAAAAGGCAAACAGACCAAAGAAGAAAAAGAAGAAGAAGAAGTTTAAGAAAAAGAAGAAGACGAAGACGCAGATAAAACATTTCACATCTCTTTCACCTCTAAATAAATAAAATAAATAAATATTATGCTAATATTGTTAATTGGTCTTCAATCAATAGAATCAAAAATATTTTTATTTAATATAGTAAATGTTTATCTACATCAGCATTTTTATATTAGGCACTGACATCTTCTCTTCCTCTTGCTGGTGCGCTAGAGGGGTATGGGCGTCGTCTTTACTCCCAATCGCGAAAAAATGCTGTCTGTTTATTGCTGATAATATCTTAGTATCTCCTTATCTTACTAATACTAATTTTGACTGCCAACGGTCTGAAATTAATTGTAGTTAGTCTCCCTGAACAAGGCTAAGAAAAAACAGGGTTGTCACTTATGTCAATGTGGTTATATAGTTTGTGTAGTCATGTAACAGCTTGTGATCTGAACGACTGATGGGTCGTCGGGATAGAGCACGAGTCTTGTTCTCTGCTTCGCCGGCACCTCCATTGTGCAGTCTACCATCCGACCAGTCTTAACAACTAATCGGGTTAAGCTTTTAGATTTAGTTATTCTGTCATAGTTGTGGAGTCTGTGTATGTCTATGCTTTGATTTATGTTTTCAGTCTCGTATGTACAGTATGAGTGCTTTGAGGAGACATCCATGCTTTCTATGAGCACTATTCCCCTCATTTATGTTCATGATGTCTTCCCTTTACGTTATCGGGGAGACATTATATCTAAAAGCTTTCTGAACTCTTCAAAATGTAGTCTTTTATAGTAGGCATGGAAGTCTCTACGTGCATATCATTGGTTCTGGTCATACCCTAATGCCAATCTCAAACACCTGTTTTGTACTTATTGCATCTTTTTAAAGTGATTGTTGGCCATCGAACAGAAAACGTTAAGATCGGCCTAATGATCTGTTTAAAAATTAATATTTTATTTTGTCTCGAAACTTTGTTGACGATACGATCTTAGGTGTGTTTACGGAACGTTAGTCTCGTACATAGATATAGAAACCAGGTCTTGTATCTAGAAATACCCCCAGATATTTAACTGCTGCCCTCTGTCCTTTTATGCTTAACGCCGTAATTATGCCTTATGTTCTTCTTTTTGTGAGCATTAAGCTTTCTGCTTTGCTTGTGTTTAAGCACATTTTGTTATTATCTAGATAAGGAATCATCTTCTATTCGCTATTTTTGCAGATGATGAAATTTTGTACACACAGGTGTCATCCGCGTACAGTGCCGTCTGTATACCGTTAATACCCTTGGGCATATCATAAGTCATAACGGTATACAGGTGAGGCGACAGTACCTAACCTTGAGGTACTTCCCGCTATCGCATTGTGTGGTCCTGTTAGAGTTTTGTTTATTTTAACGTAAAATATTTTGTCCTGCAGGTATGAGTAAATGGTTTTTACAATGTAAATAGGATAATCATTTATACATATTCTATATATTAGCCCAGTGCTCCGCAACCTTTCCTCATCTGAGGCACACCAAACTGCTCCCTAGAATTTCGTGGCACACCAAAATCTAAAATATATTTATAGCAGTGGCGTAGCTAGGTCGGGGGTCAGTTCACTCCATGTATACTAATTATTTATGGATGTCCAAACTACCTTAGTTTTTTTTTATTGTTTTAAAATGTGAAGAAGCCCCTTTCAGATTTGGGGCATCAAAATTTTCACTCAGGACATAATACATATTTTTTTTTTATTTTTTTTTATTATTCAGATAAAATGAAAAATACAAATAGGTACATACATGAGAACTATACTAAATACTAGGTAGGACAGGTAGGTATACTAAATTTACTTCTGTTGATACGTCAATAGTAATAAATATTTTGACATGATGATGACTGATTAATGTGATACCTGCGCTTGCTTCGTTGAACACAAAAGTTTTATATTCGGCTCAATTTTAGACAGCGCAACTCTCATTTCTTGGTCAAGATCTTTTAAGCATGACCGTTTATCATTTTTAATTAATACAAGCGTTGAAAAACTTTGCTCTCATAAATATGTTGTGGAAAACGGAAGTAGTGTGAAGATGGCCTTGTCGGTGATGCGTGGATATTCTGTCTTGATGGAAATCCAGAAAACATCTAACGGAACTTCGTCGAATTTAAGTTTTAGGGTCATATCATTACTTAATTCTGTGAACTCATCTCGAGTTTGCAATGGCAGTGCTTCCGTGGAACTTATTGCATTGGTTGCGAAAGGATTTCGAATCCAATTGTATTGTTCCGTGTTGATAGAATGGAAATAGTATTCAAATTTTTGTTGAAGCATACTTAAATGTTGTTGGGCCAAATCCACAATCAACTGCTTGTTTTCGATCGTACTGTGGTTGGTCCTGTGATACATTTCTAGACATCCTTTTTGCAACTGTTCCTGCCAAAGTTCAAGTTTCTTTTTGAACCCTTGTAATTTATCGGAGCACGTCAATATATTTTCATTCCGTCCTTGCATTTTTTTATTAAGTTCATTCAGATGTTCGAATATATCCGCCATGTATGCAAGTTTGGCTATCCAGTATTCATCATGAAGGTGCTGGCATAGATCGTACATATCTTGACTTGAAAGAAACTCACGCACTTCGTAGCGAAGTTCAAACAGTCGAGCTAAAACTTTTCCCCGGGATAACCAACGAACTTCTGTATAAAACAGTAAGGATTCATGTTCGCTTCCCATTTCTTCACAGAGTATTCCAAAGATTCGCGAATTTAAGGCTCTCGATTTAATTATGTTTATGATCTTAATACATTCATTCATTGTGATCGAAAGCTGTTCGGGCAAATTTTTGACCATCAATGCTTCTCGATGTATGCAGCAATGTGTAATTTGTATTGACGGATTTTTTTGTTTTACACAAGATACAAAACCTTTCTTACTGCCCATAATTGCAGCAGCACCATCTGTACAAATAGCAACGCAATTGGTCCACTGAATATTATGTATTTTAAAAAAATTATCAGTTACTTGGAAAATTTGTTCACCGGTAGTTCTCTCTGGAACCTCCTTACAAAATAAATAATGTTCTTTAATAGAGTCCTCGTCTGATTCACTTGACTATTCGACTCTCTCTGAGTCTCTGAGCGACGACAGGCGCGCTTATATAGGCAGTGGCGATGTTCAGGAAAACATCGAGTCGCGCCTCGAACGGCACGGATCTTTCTAGTTTAGTCGCCTTCGAGAATCAAGCCGCCGCGCCGCGCCGATAGACGGATAGACGTTTACCATCGGCGCTGTTGTCAGATTGCTTTATTTTTCGCGGGTCTCGCTACAATACGAATCTGATTCGTATTGTCTGCAAGAGCGGCACACCTCAAGTCGGCTTACGGCACACCAGTGTGCCGCGGCACACCGGTTGCGGAGCACTGTATTAGCCTACAGATCCAAACCGTGTCAAAGGCTTTTTCTTTATCTAGTGCTACCAGTACAGTCTGTTTATTGTCATTATACGCAGATGAGCTTAATGAGCGATTCTTACTACTTGAGCAACCGTACTGTGCCCTTCGCGAAACCCGTATTGTTCCTGCGGGATAATATGTTTGTCTCGTTCTATGTCTCTTAGTCTAATTAATATTATGGTGTCGATTGTTTTTGTTAATGTGTTCAGAAGGGACATAACTCTCAGTACATTTTGCGTTTAATTGGTCTTCAGAACGTACTTTATATATTAATTCCGCAAAAATCTCAGTTATAGTTTTTGGACCAAAAATTAAATTAGAGCAGTTAAACCAACGAATAACGATATAATATATCCTTAAACATATTAAACATATTATGTTTAAGGACGGTAGCATTAAAAATCTAGGAAATATAATTTGAAAATCATCTAAAATTTTAAGTTTATAAATTTATGCATCAGAAGGGCATAACTCTCCATTTAAATTTTTTTTTCATATTTGTTATTACCCTAATTTTAGACAGTATAGAAAAAGTTCTGTGTAAAGAGTTTGTTCTTTAGATACTTAAAATAAAGAAAAAATACCATAAACCGTAAAAAACGTTGCTACTTCTTGATATCTATTAATCCATTCTTGTTGTCTTGTTAATTATGTGCAAACAAGGTGTAAACATAACTTCGTCGTTAATCAAATATTTATTATTAATTGAATAATTATTATGGTTAGCTGTAGATTAAAACTAGGCTAACAAACGTGAAGCGCCATTATTTTTAAGAGCGGAACATTAATCTTGACTGATAAACCAGAATTAATAAATAATTATTATATTCCTTACGTTTTATTATTCTCCGTTGCTATGTCGTTATTAACCATTTCTCCATTAATGTTCTCTCGTAATAAAAAGATCATGAATCATTTTTATTGTGTCTTAAATTTCGACAGGCGCCTTAACTTTCACGAGATTTTTCATCTCCGGTGCTATATGAAAGATATTGTATCATGGAAATTCCGGTTATTTTGCATATATTATATTGTATTATTAATTGGATTTGAATATGTTTTGTTGAAAGTTTCCTCTAAATTGCAAAGCCGGATACTCAACTGGGATTTCTACTATTATGTGTATATTACATGTATATTATCTATTTTCAGCACAAAGTACAGAAGAAAAAGTAGGCCATATCAGTGTACTGAAGGGATCTCGGAAGGGATATTATTTTATATCCATTCTAGTAAGGATATAAAATCCACCAATCACAGTTCATTACAATTAGTATATC